ATATAAAAACTCCATTTTCAACAATTCCAAGTTTTGTTTCTTCTTTTTCAGACTTTACTAAAGTTAACAGTAAAACAAAATATTGAATCTAATAATTTCAGTTCCTGTTTCTTCTTTTTCAGACCTCATGAACTCTTTATATATTACTGCACAACAAAAATATTCAACTTAACTTTTCTGGATCCTACTGCAACAAATAAATAAATTAAGTAAAGAATCTGAAGAAGTAATCAATATATAAATAAAAATTAAAAATATATAAATTTATATGTTTTCTGTAATATATAATTCATTAGCACTAGTAACGATTTTTAAGACCTACAATACAAAGGGAGAAGGACTTGAACAATTAATTTTTCTAATCAGCCAATAAACACAACCCTATGAAAAAAAGGATGTCTGGGCCTCTATCTCTTGTTAATTGGAATGATAAATATCTTTGATCAGTTAAACAATCTTCCGCTAATTAAGGGTACTCTCAAGCATCATTCTCGATGTAATTAGCAAGTGATCACAATAGTACTCAAGCAAAGTTATATTTATATAAAATTTTTTATTTTTATTTTTTTTTAATATTAAGGTGACCACTTGGGGGTATGGCACGTTTTATTAACTTCAGTTGCAAATGTCAGGGCAATCACAGGACCACCTCTGACTTTGTTACATTAATGAGAGTACTTTCTAGCCATATCTGCATCTTTTGAGTATCTAATTAAGTATCTACCTATTACTAGGTTCTACACTAGATGCCGTATCTATAACTCACTATTACTTGAGTTACCCATTTAATTGAGAATTCTCCAGTGAACTGAAAAATAATCATAGTGAAACGTAATGCAGTTCTATATATAAATTACTATAGATGCGAAAGTAGAAATTTTCTAGTGATTGTTCAAAGAAAACTTTTTTCATATTAAGTTAATCATCTTTGAGTCTTTAAGTAAAGTTGTAGAGCTCATCAAAATGAATCTAATGGTAATTAAATCATCCAAATCAGCCTTGTGAATGCCAAGATATCTTTGAAAAACATTTCACTATCTATATAAAAATTCTTTAGATTGTTCTTAAAGAACTTTATATAGACAGGAAACATTTTTCAAAGATATTTTGGCATCTATAAAGCTGATTTAGATGATTTAACTACCATTAGATTTATCTCGATGAGCTCTACAACTTTACTTAAAAACTCAAAGATGATTAACTTAGTATGAAAAAAAGTTTTCTTTGAACAATCACTAGAAAATTTCTACTTTCGCATCTATAATAATTTATATATAGAACCACATCACATTTTACTATAATCATTCTTCAGTTCACTGAAGAATCATCAATTAAACCCTCTAATCAACTTAGTGCTGTCGGATATTTTCCTCAAAGAGGAACTGCCGCTAAGGCCCCTTAGGACTACTTTATCCTCGTAGTAAATCTACTAGAGTAGTTCATATCTTATACATATATCACCTAGATTTTTCGGTAATTTATGCCTAGGCCGAGGCCAAGTACTTGTGAGCTGAAGCTGCTATCATTACTTACTTATTGCCCTTATAAAGTTCACCCAAACCCCAGCACCCACTTTACAGACTATTACCAACTTTCCTGGCACACCAACAGCATCCCCAAACTCCTAATCCAAATGGTCTGGAAGAAACTTGCATCCCTTAGTATTCCGATGAATCCTTTTTCTCATAAATACGTGGCCTGGTTGGTATGGTGCCTTGCCCAACATCTGGTCCTCGTTCAGTTTGCAGTCAGGTCCAATTGCTGATGATTTTCCTTTATATAGTACCATCGAAGATATGTACTACCTCTCCATTCAGATCTTGCCAAGCGGGCTTTTGTGTGCTTTGGTCCCTGGATTTACCTGGATCTATCACTTGGGTTTCATGTAACTCTTATATTATACTACTGTTCCAGATCCTCCCAGTACAAGCTGGTATAACCAAGGTTACAGATGCCGATCTGCCAGATTATATACAGTCTGCTATAACACATTCTATAAATTTGAATTTCGTTATCAGTGGGATTCGAACTCTTGTTCTGCTACTTGGGGGGGCGACAACCTACCAACTTCACTAAGTCGCTACACCCTTATATAAAATTTTTATTGAGAATTAGAATATGCAATTTATGCTGAAATTGAAATTTTCTCAAACATCATCTTCAATATAATTAATTAGTGATCATAATAGTGCTCATTTATTAAAATCAATTGAAATAAACACCACAGTTAATATTTGAGTGGTCTTTTTCCCAGGAGGCAGGATTGGCAATGGAGTTTAATGAAGCCCAATGGAGCTGCGAATGAAACCAATAGAGCTCTGAATAGAGCCAATAGATACTAGTTTTGTGAGCACCATTTGCATAACCATTGAGCTCTATTGGCTTTATTGCCAATCCTGCCAGAAGGCGATAGAAGTTATAGATGGAGAGAGACAAGAATATTTATATTTATGACCCAAGGGGCGAAGACAGGAAAAAATTAATAAGATTAAAAAACTATTTAGATGTCAACTGAGAGAAATATATTAAATTTTATTAGGGGCGATTATTAAGCATTTAATACATGCTGATTTTTTTAAGTGAAAAGTAGACCTTAATAATGAGATTTATGCCCAGCCATGCGAGAAAATAGAAAAATTAACTAATTATGGCAGTAAAGAAAATGGCTAAGAATAAAGGTGAGATAATAGAAACTATGCAAGAAATTAAGCAAAAAATAGCCCAGGTGATTAATAACATTAAAGAGGTGAAAAAGAAAGCAAAAATAAGGAAAAAAGATAAGAAAAGTAAAAATATTATTATTCCAACTATTCCAACCAAGAGAAAAAGGGAAAAATAGGCATAGATGAGGAATTAGAGGATATAGAGATAGAGGAGGAAATAGAATAATGAGAACATCTAGAATTAGTAATTGATAATGAATATAGACCAGCATTTAATTACAAGAAGCATTTGATGCAGATTATTAAAAATATTCTGGTGAAGCATTAACTTCAGCAGTCCCTGTTGATCTATTTACAGATTTTACCAATTATTGTTTATAAAAATGTTTAATGCATGAAGTAAAATAATAATTTGTTGCTGAATATGATGATTCATAGCAATATTACTTGTGCAGTCTCTTTGAAAACTTAATTGATTGTCAAATTTTCAAGACAGAGATAAAAAAAGGTGGTTTGTTGTAAAGTTTGTTGATTTAAATGATATATTCATTTCAATATTTTTTATTAATAAAAATATTATATTTACATAATAAACTTTAAATAATAAATATGCTTGACTGATTTAAAATATTTTTCGCTAAATAAATTTTATTTCCTAATACTTTTTGACTCATTAATTAAGGTGCATGAGAACTATTCAAGTTCATAATATTTACCATTTATACGCATGAATTTAGTGTACAAGTATGATTAAAATAAAATATCAAAGTTTATTACTTAATTTATTATATTTAGTACATGAGCATAAAAAACATTTATTATCATTCATATTAATTTAGCGTATTAATCCAATTATTTACTTTATAAATTTCATTACAGAATTTTCTTCTACCACCCAGATGATCTGGGATCTACCCACATTGCAGAATTTCTTTTACCACCCAGGTAATTTAGATAACCCACCCACAAGTGAAATTTTTGTGATGGGTCAGAACACTAACCAGACAAACCATTTAACATCCCTATTAGCCTTTCATTTTGTAATTTTTTCTTAAAAGAAACTTGCC